CCCCAAAACCCCAAAACCCCATAATGCAATTTAAATCATCAATTATTATATCGAAATAAATATCAATTGTAAATATCTAATACTTTTATATCTTCAGTCTTTTCTATTTCCATAGTTATTGGAGCTCTAATTAGCTAATGCCATTCTTTTACCAATATTTTTCTTGATAAAGTTTTGAATTTCTACAATAGCAACATCTCTTTTTGGATCCATCATGCCAGTCTTTACTTGTTAAGCAAGTTGTCTAGTTTCCTGGTCAAACTCATGCTTCATGTTACTAAGATAGTAATATAAAAGCCTTATCATCTTTGGGTCGTCTATTTCATTGAGTTTGCTTAGGATCTGAACTGCATTATCTAAATTTTCTTGCCTTAGATCCTCAATAAACATCTTATAGTCGTATTCTCTTTTAATAGGGATTGATTTTTCAATATACTCTGTTTGATAGTCTTTACAGTTATTAAGAAGCTATTACACTGATTGATGAGTTGATGATTTAAACATTGCATTAGACAGATTTTCTCTTTATATTTTGAAGGATTCATCATATTTGGAGATATGCTCCCTTAAATCTTAAACTGTAGGAGAGGCAGGAAGGTCGAAAGACTTATCCCTATTAAGTGGTTTACGAGTTTGCAAAGGCCAGCCATCCTTATTATCTTTAAAAAGGGAGCTAATCTATTTAGGCGAGGAAAGCACAGATTTAGACTTGAAATTTCTGGTAAATGTAGGAATAAATTTTACTTTGTTTGATTTAATATACTCCACACTTAAATCATTGAACAACTAGCTCTCTGCTATGTTACTTAAATTTGCAAATTGATTGTATTAGTGCTAAGGAGAAACCTAGAATGACAAATTCAACTATGATGAAATTCTTGTGCTCTATTGAAATGAGTTACTAATTGGTGGTAAGAATTAAGATCGAGTCACATTTTTATTGTCTTATTCATTTTCATAGCTTTCATTTTATGATTCCTAGTGATTTACTAAGAAAGAACTACTTTAGTCAAGATTTTTATTCTCTGAATAAAACTTCTCTTGTCGTTCATCAACTTCCTCAAATTCAAGCTTAAACTTGTCTATTCTTTATTTCATTTTTTATTCTTGTGTTTTCCTAAAAGGTGATTCACTCCGAATTAGAGTGGGAGATCTCTTTGGTGAATTAGGACTCAATCTTAATGGAGAAAGTTTTCCAGATGAAATAGGAGAGTTTTTAGCTCTTTGGCTAGACCCTGAGACTTTATCAAATATTTTCCTTTTCTTGAATTTCTCTTTTATCTCATCTATTTTTTATTGCAGAGCATCATGAGTAATATCTCTTCCTTTTCTCTTAGCTCTTAATCTTAAGAAATTGAGGTGCTTTAGGACAGTTCTTACTCCAATATATTTTTCCATTTTATCCATCATTAAGGTATTCTGCTTTTTCTCTTGTTATTAAAGAAGCTTGCTAGCATTATCCATAAACACATCAATGTCATCAAGATTTTTCAAATCTTCTACTGCCTACTAATTTAGGATAAGAGGGTCCTCTTATCTTTCAACTACTTTCTCAAAAAGTTTCATTCTATGCCTCTTGTACTGGTAAAATACATCTGGCTCTTCTTTCGCTGATGATTTAATTTTTTCTATAGGTGTAATTTAACTAGGAGATTTTATTTTTATATTGTGAGTCTTGATAATGCCATTAAGATTTGCTATTCTCTATTTGTAGATTCTCTTAGCTTCAATGGCTATATTTTTGATTCTATCATCTTCTTCTTTCCGTTGCTTTTCCTTAAAGAGTTCTTCCATTATATGTGCAAGAGTCATTCTTTCCTGTTTAAATTACAATGGGTGCTTATCATAGTAGGATTTTACACTTTTCAATTCTTCCTCAGTTTTAGTTTTACAGAATAAGAATATCTCTTGGAATGTTTCTTCCATTTCTTAGCTAGGATGTATCTTAAAAGTCCCTTTTCTTTCGATTTCAACTGGCAATTTATACCTCTATGGATCATATATTGGCAGATGTGGGTTTTTAATGAAAGTTTGGAGACTCATCCTATCTCCGCCAGGATTTAATCTGAAAATTGAAGTGCGTTAAGACTTGAATGAAAGATTTTATATTGATCCTGATCTGCCTCTGTTTGATCTGGAACCATCTCCCATATCATCTGGAATTTGCATCTTCCTAGTTATTTTTTTCAAGTGCGTAAAAGCTCTCTTTTCAATAGCAGAATGAAAGAGCTGCTTTTTTAAAAACTCAGATTCTTCTTGAGTAGTCATAACAGACTAAAATATAAATGTGTAATGATAAATAATTATCTATTTTATTCATTTCATTATTTTAATAGCATATTTTAGAATTAAGCAATCAGTATTTTCTCTACTTGTGTTATTTTACATTACTTCTTGATGGGGTTTTGGGGTTTTGGGGTTTTGGGG